TTCTCTCTCTCTATATATTTTTATATTTTATCTTTCTTTTTTTTTTTTGCTCATTTATTTACAGTGCCGTAATACGATTATTGCTTTCTTTAAAATGTTAAAACCGAGGACACTAGAGATAAAACGGAAAGACACCAAGGAGCAAAATAGGTAGTTGTGAATTGCATGTTATCCCACAATGCATTGTTCTTTGGGTCGAAGACGAGGCTCTCCCATAATGTTTTTTGACGGCTCTGGTGAATTAGCTCGTTGCTTCCATCTTTCTTTCTTTCTCTCTCCCTCTCCCTTTTTTTTTTTTGTTTGGTCTCTATTTGTAAATTCACGCCTCGCGTAAAGTGACATTACTCTTGACTTGTTGCCGCGATAACATTGATCCTTTTTTCTCTTTGACCGTTTTGTTTTTCCGCGTATCGCCAACTATAGCTATTTTTTTTAGTTTCCTTTTTTCCGTGGTAGAGAGAGGACACTCGAATTACGATATTTGGGCATCTGGGATATTTTACTGCCCGAGAATAACTAATAATTGTGAAACCACTAACAATAATCAAAACAAGAGCTCTCCAATACGGTGGGAGCCTGTTTTTCTTTAGTTGGTGTTACGTGAATCTAAAGGGCTAAGTAAAACCACGAGAAAAAAAAGGGGACAAGTAGAAACCTATCGCTGTGTGTACTTGAGAGATTCCGACGAGAAGAGCTATTTCAAGAAATTGTTTTTTTAACCGGAGTTGCGAAAGCAAAGACCATTACTCATGAGCCATGATGGATGCTTTGTGGAGTGCATGAAACCGACAGTCAAGGGAGATTTTAAGGTGCTTGACCAGCATTCCTCTTGGTCATCTGCACAGGTACCGAGTCAATTTTCCTGCAGAACGACGAACTTGTCTTTTCATCAAATAGGAGGAGGGTTAACGGCTTCGCGAGACTCTGAGGCGCACTCTGAAAGAATCTTTTCGGAGGACTCTGAACATGGAATCTCCTTGTTACCGGGTGGGTGCCGTGAGTCGTTTGGTGAGTATGGGAACTTTGCGCTCACGGAAGGCCGATTCCCATTGCACCGTTTTGCAGATGAGACGGACACCATTACGCAGGCGGAGGGAACCAACGAAGGCAGGGAATTGGGGTGCAATTTACCACCCTCAGTTTCTTGGTTTTGGCCTCCATTCCCTCCCCCAAACTCAGAGAGCGCTGAGTTTGCTGAAACAGCCCCGCCAGCCGAAAGAGCAAACTATTCCCAATCTTTTCATCATACAGGAATAAGATCAGAGTGTGTACTTGGAGGTAGCACCACGTCGCTACTGAACTTTTCCAGCCATCACTCTGGTGAGGGATGGTGGGCAACACGAAACATCAACTCGCTGGAACGCCCAAAACACGAACAACATCCATTTGAACCAAGCCGTATCGTATCACCGTTTTTTGCTCCTGTACAGTTGCTAAAACTACGGGGTCAACGATCTGAGCTGGATTGTTGCTCGGTTAACAGCAACAATAACTGGGCGAGTGATGTTGACATTCCTCAGCGTGGTACACACGTGGAGATGTCAGTAAAATTGTCAGGATCAGGGGTGGCGAGTGCGAGGGCCATGAGTGGTCTCCGTCCAGATTGGGATCGGAGCAAGCGAGGGATAACCGGGGATTCATTTTATGACGAGGAACGGAGTGACTTCACGGAGCCTCCTCGAAAAGAACCTGAAGAGAGAAGGATGCTACGACAGAAGTGTTTGAATTCAGATTCGTACTTTGCCACCCGCCGCGGAGTGCACAAGGTATCCTTGGAGCGCGTTCGACGGCTGTTCAAACAGCACTTCATAAAATCCAAATTCGATTGAATTTCTGCCTTTGGTACAGACTATAGTGCTTGGTTGCAGAAGCAGATATCGATTTTTTTTTTTTTTTAATCTCTACGCGTTCTTTACATTTTTTCAATTTTTTTATTTCTCGCGTTTTTTTTCAAACGTGAAACTTGTCTGGTTATTATTCCTCTTTCCCTTGTTTCTGTGGTTCAACTAGATTTTTTTCTCAAAAATTTTTTAAAAATTTCTTTCTTCTTTTTCCACGTTTTGGGCCGAGCTTTTTTGCTTTCTTTTTTTTCTTAAAAAGGGGTATTTCTTGTTTGCAACATTCTTTGTGTTCACGACGATGTGGTGGGTATCAGTATTTCTGCGCGTGTGAATATACCCCTTCACCTCCATTCATTTCTCATGGGCCTTTTTTCTTTTTTTTTTCTTTTTCCTCTTGTGAGCTTGTTTTGTATTGCGATGGATAGAACTGGCGCCCTTTTTGCCTTATTTGCAAAAAGGTCGGAATTGAGAGGTAATGTTTTCTTTCCACGCATCGCTCGTTTTTATTCTCTATTAGATTCTTATAAGTTTGCTTAGGTGAGTGTGAAAGAATTTGGTGGGGACATTAGCACCTGAGGAAGACGGACCCTGCGAAGGGGAGGGAAAGAAGGAGAGAGAGCATATTGAAATGAAGGGAAAAGAAGTGGTATGCCGTGGCAGCAAGAAGATACTCATTTCGTGTTCCCAGAAACAGCAATAATAATATTAGCAACAAAATCATCAGCAGCAACAAAAGAGGGCGAAGACTCTCGTTTTATTACTTTTTTTATATTTCTAGGCTTCTGCAGTTTTTACGCTTTGCGGAAGCCCCTTCTTATTTTATACCTTTTTTTTTTTGCCTTTTCATGTGCATATGTGTGTTTTTATTTTATTTTTATGTGTTCGCTGTTCTCCAATTACAATTGTATTCAATTACTCCCAGTACCATTTTTCATCTGTTTCTTTGCGTCTGCATGTGTATGCCGCGGTCTTAGGTGTATCGGGAGGTTGAACAAGAAGAATAAGGGAATAAACGACTGGGAATGGACATGGGTAACGGGTGGGGGGATGGAGACAAAGAAAAGTGGCGGAACGAAACGAGGCGAACGAAATGCATACAAAAAAAAAAAAAAAAGAAGACTAAAGATAGAAATGAAGGAGCTGAGAGGTCGGAGCAGGGTGTAAGACGGTACAGAGCAAAGCCGACAAAAAAGAATGTGTGGAATATACCCAAGGTACGAGGTTGGCTCGCTAATGAGCCACGAGACGAGGGGCAAAAAGGGATATCAGCATTAAGGCATATATAGCGTTTTGAAGACAAATATAAATAGGAAGGGATGAAGGCGGTGTTAATGCGTTGTTCTGCATCATGAAACAGTGCTAATTTCATATTGCTTGGGAGAAGTAAATGAGAGTGTATTGGTTGTATTAAAACGAAGAAGACAATAATAATAAAAAAAGAAAGAAACATATGCTCTCTTCTTTTGAGACTTTTTATGTTCCTATTTAAATTGTTTTTGTTGTTCTTTGGCTTCCACACCCATTCCTTCCTTTTTTCTTCCTCTCATTATTTTCCCTGCATTTATACCTTTTTTTTCGAACGTTATTATTATTATTATTATTATCAATTATATGCGTACTATTATGGGTTGTTGATTTTTTATTATGATTATTTTATTTTATTTTATTTTATTGGTAGTTGATGACGGTACTCTGGGCTAACAAACACAGTCTCTTTCTCACCCTCATATATGTACATATATAATATATATACAAACTTGGATGTGCAACACTGAGCCATGGGCTTTTCATGGGGTTGTCTTTTTTCAATCATGCACGCGTATATATATATATATATATATTTCTTTTGACAAGATCCCTTTTTGAGTGCCTGTTTGAGCTTTTTTTTCTCTGTGTTTATATTTCACTGGCCCTTTGCATAAGTGAACGCAAAGGAAACAACAGAAATATATGTATATGGTTTCTCTCTTCTTATTTGTCAGCGATACCTTCTAAATAAATTTTTTTTTTCCGGAAAAAACTTTGCATCTTACCAAAACAGTTTTTTCTATTAAGCACTCGTATCTCATATATATATATATATATGCAATGTGTCTTGGTTTCTAATCGCTTGTTCCCCCAATGGAGTCTCTGTGCATGTATCCTTCTGTTTACTTTTTTGCGGTAAGGGCGATGCCGCTGAGGGAAGTTGGTGGGGTGCAATATTAGGGACGATGAGAGTCATGCGTAACATTGTGCATCTTTACTTTAATTTTTATATACGTCTATAAATGTCTTTTGATTTAAGACATGTCTATACATATCAATCTATATGGTGTTTTATATATCTATTTATATCAACATGTGAGGCTTTGTGCATGAGAGTAGAAAAGGAATGAGTGTCTGTTGGGAGAATTAAGTTAAATAACTCTCTCAGTTTTTTTAAAAAGTTTTCCTCCTCTCTCTCTCTCTTTATATATATATATATATATATAAACATCTTCTACGTCTTTTTTTTTTTTGGTTTCAATTTATACAGGAACGATTGTTTTTCCCTTCAATTTTGTCTATATATATAACCATGTCCAAATTGATCTGCAAATCACACTCGAGGTAGACTCATGCGTACTTTGGATGGATTCATTGAGCAGAGGTCTTTATGAAAAGGCATGTTGCTGTCAAGGGGATTTTTTTTTGCGGGATGAAAAAAAAAAAAGGACTAAAATAAATTCTGGTGATGCACTAAGTTTTCATTGCACCATCGTTATATATTTATATGTAATCTCTGCCTATGTAATGTTTATTTTTATTTTTAACTTTATATATATATATATCTTTCTCGGTCTGATGCTGGGATTTAATGCTTCTATATATATAATATAATATAAATGTGCGGATATACGCTTATATACGTGATTGGATGCTCATTCTATATATTGTTATTTGTTATGTTTTCTTTGGTAGAGTATGGCAGGTGGCTGATAATTGAGAGGATTATGGCAGAGGCAGACTAACCCTTCTTAATCTCTTTTTTTATTATTATTTCAGAGTGATTGTCTCTGGTGCGTTGCTTGTTCTTTTTGCTTCTTATTTTTCTGTCGTTTTCCATCCTCTTTTCCGATGCATTCTTCTCCTTCCAGACACATTCAGTATCAGTAAGAGAGAATTCGTGTGTTTTCAATGATTCCCTGCCGCTCCAACCAACAACAGCATCAAAACATCTCCAATACGAGGGGAAGCGATTATAACTTTACAGAATTTTGCGACGGACGAAATTCATCTGCACCGGTGCGTTCTGTCGTTGCTGGCGACACTGGAAAGGAGCAATGTTCACAGCAGCAGAATGGTGATGCGGTTGTCATGACTGATATCATGGAAAGAACAGGTGCATCCACATCTGCCGAACGTGAAACGAATTGCAGTGAACGTTCTTTGCTAAAGGACAATAAAATTCCGGTGTTGAGCATGAGCGAATTTACAACAGTGTGTCCACAATTCGTCGTTACACCGACCATCGCCGCCCCAAATACCCCCAATTTTTCTTATTTTAATGCTGCCACTCCTTGTTTGGAGAGATCGCCATTATTATCCTCTTCTTTTTATGCTTCACCGTCAGGATGCGAAGATGAAAAAAGTCTGGGATATTCTGCAGCTGTCTTTGAATCCGATGGAGAAAAGGATGATGACTGTGTTTCCTTGAAAAGCGCTGACAAAACTAAACTCAAGGCACCTTATCTCATTAACACATCCCCTGGTTCCATTGCTGCAATTGAATTGGCGTTGTTGACGAACTCAAAGGAGGATGAGCATACGCAGTCGGATGGGGCATGCTCGATTGGCAAGGATTTGGAGTCTGCACTGGAGGAACAAGGGGGTTACGGCACCTGGCACTTGGTGACGTCGCGTCTGAAAGCAGTGCATCTTCGTCACATGGCGCACAAGTATGCATTGGAAGTTGTTCGTCAACGCTATGGAGACAGGATTATAGATGATTCATCTAAGTAGTTTTTAAAGGACATTGTGATTTGTGCTATGGAGGAGGATTCTTCTCCCTTTTCCCTTTTGTTTGAAAAGAAAAAAAAAAACACGTGCCTTGAGAGGTTGTTTTTTTTTTTCTTTTTTTTCGCGTGTCTTTTGATTTTTGTCTTGGCTGTATGTGTGTGTCTTTCTGTTTTTTTTTTTTTTTTTTGGTTTTTTGTTTGCGTGTTTGTGCCTTTCCCTTGTTTTTTTTTTTTTTTTTTTTTTTTTTGAGAATATATATATTTATATTTATATATTTTTATATAGTAATATATACATATATTATTATTATTATTATTATTTTTTGTTGTTTGTTGTGTTTTGCACTTTTACCCTTGGATTTTTTTTTTTTTTTGCTTCCCCCTTTTATTCATTTTTTCCATTCCTCCTTCCTCTTCACAGCTCAATGGAGCTTGGAGACACGGATGGAGATCACGTCGTTGGGGTGACTGCGAATCTCGGTATTTGTCATTGGTATATATATATATATATATATATAAAGGTGTTTCTGCTGTTAATAAAAGATGAAAAGAAATACGGGTGGGGTGGGTTGGGGGGAGTTAAATGGGCGGGAAAGAAAGAGAAAGAGAGAGAGAGCGCCTGCGTGTTTGTATGCTTGTAGAATAAAACGGCTGGTAGCCCCATTCTCACTGCCACACAGATGTACACGCACGGACCGAAAGAGACAGAGAGAAAAAGAAAAAGGGAAAGTAGGCTCAATTATGAACATAAATACATACACACCCTGCAACGTGATAGAAATGAGACTCCCACTTTACCCGGAAAAAAAAGGTTCTGAAGAAGATGGAAAAAACAACAACAAAAACACGGACACACACATACACACGTATTCGTGCTCAGAGGAGGAAGAGGAGGAGGAGGGGAGGAGGGGGAAAGAAGTAAAGAAGGATGAATCAGGGGTGTGCGCGCAGATGACTTTATATCCACACCCTTTTTTTTTTTCTTTGCCTTTTTCCCTCCTCTCCTTTCAAGGAAACAAATGAGACAAGGTGAGGTGGGAATAACAATCAAGCTCCCAGAAGAAAATAAAGAGGCGTAAAAACCCACCCAATTGGAATTAGAAGTAAAAGCAGAAGAAAAAACAAAAACAAAAACAACAAAAAGACAATGCTGATAAAACGAGTTGTCAGGCGAAACAAAAGCGACAAGTAAAAAAAAAAAAAAAAAAAAGAGAAGAATTAATGAGTGAGTCAGTGAGTTGAACATGGAACAGAAGACATCATTTATACATACAATTGCTTATACCTATACCTATAATTGTAAAAACAACAACAAAAAAAAAAGAAACTAAATATGTATCCCAACTATATATTAATTTTTTTTATATAAATGAATCTCTATCTATTTATCTACCTATCTCTTTCTCTCTCTCTCTCTTTCTATATATATATATATATATATATATGTGAACAAGCTTATATCATGGTGACTTTTTTTTTTGTTTTTCTCTCTTCTTTCTTCCTGTGTTTTTTTTTTTCTTTGTTTGATTCCCACCCTTCATTTGCTAATGACTTTTTTTTTTTTTTTGTGTGTGTGTTTCTTCTTCTTCTTTCACATGTTCCTATTTTCATACTATATATATATATATACGTGACGCATATATGCATGCATACCCCTCCAGGAGCCGATGGGGGAGAAAAGGGGAACGAACGAACGAACGAAAGAAACTCCGTTGTTTTTTTCTTTCTTTCTTTTTCTTCCTTCCATATGTGTTCACTTTGCTGGGAAACAAAAAGAAAAGAAAAGGGGGGGGGGGGGAGAAAGAGGAGTTTTGATCCCTTGAAAACACAAGATGAACCGAAACTCATACCCTCTCCCCCAGAGACGTTCAATATATCCGGCTATTTATATATTTATATATAAATACGATCAACTCGTTGTACGGTTTTACATAGACACAGAAATAGAAAAAAAGCGACAGAGAAGAAGAAAAAAAAAATGGCAAAGTGAGACGAAGAGGAGGAGGAGGAGAGGGAAATGAAAGAAAAAAAAAAAAGGCAGAGCATGGGGGCTGTGGAAGGTGCGGGCCGATTGTGGGGGTTCGTTTTTTTGTTTTTTCCCTCAAACTTCTGTTGTAAACTTCACTCAACGAAAAGAATAAACTTTTTTTTCTTTTCTCCCCCTTCCCTTACCTGCATTACCATCCCGTTTTACGTGTCGCAGGCTCCCAACTACATGGCACGGGGACACACACGCATGCGAGAAGAAGAGGCGATGAAATAATCTCAAAGCCATCCTTTGGGCCCAAATATGCGCCTTTTTTTTTCCCCCTAACCCCCCACTCACCAACCAACAAAATGAACGAACACCACAATAATAATATTAATATATCAAAACCAAAGCAAAACCAACCAATCAAAAAAAAAAGAAAAAAAATGGACAAGAAGAGGATAGGGTGGTGGTGGTGATGGGAGTATTTTACGAGTGATGAAAGTGTGCTTATGTCTTTATCCATTAAAAAGGAAAAAAACAAACTAACAAAAAAAAAAAAAAAAAACCGTTTATATATAAAATATTCGGTTTTTTTTTCTTTTTTTTTTTTATTATCTGCTATTTATATACATTATATGCATTACAAATATATGTATACGTATATATTGACGGGATGGTCGAATGAGTAAATGAAAAACAAACAAACAAACAAAAGACTGACTGTAAAGGGTATATATACATGTATATACGTATTTTTACTTATATAATAATGTACTTATATGCAACAATGCCTTATATTAAGCATAAATCATGTGTTTTCTTCTTAAAAAGAAAGTGAAATAAATGCAAATAAAATACACGTTGTTGTTAGATAAATACACTGCGTGAACTGTTGAGAAGAATGTAAATGATGTGAATAGCATACATGTATATATATATATATATATATATATATATATATATATATATATATATATATATATATAGAAAGATAAAGTGGGAAGGAAAAAAGGAAAGAAAGAGGGAGAGAGAGTGAAGGAGTTGACATGTGTTGTGTACATGTATATGATTTTCTCTCTCCCTCTCTCTCTCTCTCTCTCTATACATATATATATTTGTATATTTGTATATTTGTATATTCATGGGACGGTGTGATGCTTAATTCCTTATGCCCCTACATTTCTGACAATTAATTATTTGGGCGAATGCATTGCATGACGACGAAATGATAAACAGGATATAAGAAACGATTGGAAAGAAACCAAATTTGACTCAAATAGGGTAGGATTTGATTGCAATGCTCAGAGTCTTGGATATTTTTCTTGTTCCTCTCCCGTCCACTCTCATTGCATGGGTGTGAGGCAGAGAGAGAGATAGAGAGAGAGAGGAAGAGTTCGTCGCTTGTCCTTTATAAATTTGATCTTGGGGGTATTGTTATCAGAATCCTTTTTTTTTTTTTTTTGATTCATTTTTAGTTTTTCCTTAAATTTTTTTTTTTTTTTTTTTTTTTCTGGGGGAAATGGGGGGGGCGAGAGGGAAGGAGGGATGATGAAAATATTTGGGAAGCAAAGAAAATGGAACTGACGTATTTCCTTCTGTGCACTCTTGTAAACATTTACCGACAACGATGGCAGCAATAAACATGTCTTCTTTTCACTTTTTTCTTTTTCTACGTCTACACACATACACATTCCAATGGTTTTAGGGCCTTTAGGTGATTATTCGTCATATTTATTTGCCCCCCAATTTTCTTTCCTTCTCACTTTTTTTTTCTTTTTTTTCTTTTTTCTCATTTTGAAGTACATTGCTTTTATTTATTTATTATTATTATTATTTGTTTATTTATTTGTTTGTTTCTAAAGGGGAGGGCGTGGAATACAAAAAAAGAAAGAAGGGAAGCGAAGGAGTACACACACCTGTACGCTCTTTATCTTATTCACGTACTTGCCCCTTAGTACACGGCAGCTGTTAACAAAGAGAGGGTGTGGGGTGTGTGGGGGATAAGAAGGTGGAAGAGGTAGAAATAAAAAAATAATAAATAAATAAAAGAAAAGGATCATACAAGAAGAAGAAGAGGTGACGACACATACAACGAGAGAAGAATAAGAAAAGCAGGTGTGGGGCGGAGGGGGGGTTTACATCACATCATTTATTTATTTATTTATATATTCAGTTTACACGCTTTGTGTGCATTTGTTGGATTCCTTACCCGTGACAAAAACACATACGCACATCCAGAGACAGACAGCCAGACAGACAGACAAACTTACTTGTTTTTATTTTTATTTTTTGATATATATAAACCAACTTGCTGTTACTGTGACCGCTACTCGTTGCCGGTGGATTTCACCATCAATTCCCCTGTCACCCACCTCACTAGACATCGTGAGGGGCTGTGGACATAGAGGGGCTGGCAAGAAGGAAGAGAGAGAGGGGAAAAAAAAGAGAGAGAGAGAAAAAAAATGGTGGGGGATGTGAACAACGTAGAAGTGAAGGAAAAAAAAAAGGGATATGAGGTAAAGAAGGTCCCTGTGTCTCCTGTAAAACCATCCCGACCAACCGCCTACGTCAGGAAACCCGCATCGGCACGTAACGTGGGGAGCCCGTCGGCGAAACATGATGCGCTGGCATCTTTCACCTCGCCGAGGGATTCAAAGCGTCACGTACCGGACTGTGGCTTCGCGTCACCGCACAGCAGCAGAAGACCCTACAGGAGCGATCCGAAGCATTTTGAGCTTCATGTCCGTTCTTCAGTGGAAAAATCGAGGGCTTTAGAGACGCCGGAGGCAGCGAAGGTCTCTGCGTCAGGAAATGGCACCGATGGTCCATTGTTTTCCAGCGACGCTGAGAGTGCCCGTCTCCTCCCTTCTATCACCGCAGCGGAGACAAGGCTCCCTTTCCTCGATGGATGTTTTAGGCCCAACACAGATGGTGGTTCAGTTGTTGTGTGGGCCGGTGGACGTCGTCGCCAGCAGCAGTTGCAGCAGCAGTCTCTTTGCTCCCGGCAACCAGCGGAACGTGAGGAAGAGGAAGCGGGAGCGGTGCCACAGGCAGAAAAAAGTGCTGTCTTCTCACCTGAGGCTCTTCGTCACGAATCAAAGGGTTTTTGCCTTCCATTAACTGCCTCCCTGGAACATTTCACGGCTTCTGGTCACGAACGCTCGCTGCATCCATCCCATGTGGGGAGTGTTTTACCAAACGATACGACGGAACTAAACGAAGAGAGAAGTTTTGCGCAGCGCATCCCTGGAATGGACTTGTCCGCGTCGCCACTCCGTATGGACGCCAGGGTGAAGGAGGAATTTTTATTGCATTTTTTAAACCTCATATCATCTTCACCTTTATCCTCTTCATCGGAGGTTGGGGCCTCATTTCAATCCGACAGGGATGCTGCGACAGAGACGAAACTCGTGACGGTATTTGTGCGTGGTGAAGATGCGGGTGTGGATGCTGACACGAAAACAGGGAGGAGGAGGAGGAGAGAGGCGTCGTGCAAGAATCCTGACGCGATTCAGCTCGAGGAGTCGATGGCGATGACGACACAGACATCCGGGAATACGGAACGGGCACAGCTGGGCCGTTACAGACAGTTGCCGGGGTACAGAGAGGCACGGAGGATGGCGCAGCGAATGGCACTAGAGAAGGTCCGAAAACAATTTTGCTGCAGTGCGGAGTGAGAAACCATCGACAGGATGGATCAAAAGAGATAAAAAAATATCAATGAAATGACAGCCATGCGGAAGGAGTAAGCACGTACAAAACCAAACAAAAAAAGAAAATAAATAAAAAAGTGGCTAAAACAGCGGCAATATGTGAAGCGCCAACAATCAAAGGACGAAGTCAAGGATGGGGGAGGATTACAACTGCATTTGCAGCTGAGGGGGTGTAGAGAAGGGAAAGATGATGTTTACTAAAAGCCAATAGGAAGGAATGCCTGCAGTTATGCACGCTTGTGTAATGTTATGTTCTTTCTCTCTCTCTCTCCCTCTCTCTCGCATGTGAGTATGCATCCGGGCTAGAGCGCTTTGATGCCATTGAGCCATAATTTGATGTGCAGTCTAAATGAAACAGTCCAGAACCGCTGCTGCTGCTGCTGCTGTTACTCATGCATGTGGGCAATGACGTCCAGCAACGTGGCCGACGTTCATGAGTTTACTTAAAACCATTTCATTCATATTTTTATTTTTAATTTTTTTATTTTATCGGGCATATGTCTTATTACTTCTATTTATTTACTTATTTTATTTTTTGCGATGATAACATAAACATATAGGTTTTCTTCTTTCTATCCCTCTTTTTTTTTTTCCCTAAAGGCGCTTTATGTTTGAATTTAACTCTTTTATTATATTTATTATTATTGGTACTTTTGTTTCCTTTCAAATATATATTGTCGCCGTGCAATTTCGTATGTATTTTTTTATTTTTATTTTTATTTTTTCTTCTGCACGGGCTTTTTTCTTTTCTTTTTCTTTTGGATATTATTATATTTATTATATTTATTACCACGATGCCGTTGATTATTATTATTATTATTATTATTATTTTGAGCACCTCCCTTATTGGGTTGAAGTGAAGTTATGCCGTGGGGAGCGGCAAGAGAGAGACAGAGATAGAGGTTAGGAGGAGGACGTGGTTGAAACATGAAACCAAAAACAAAAAGACATGCACACCGATGAGGTGATTACATGCATGCGGACACATAAAATGCATACAACTGTGCGTCTCTCTCCCTCTCCCTCTCCCTCTCTTTGTGTGTGTGTGTGTGTGGCATTGTGGTGTTACTTTCTTTTTTTCCCTTTTTTTTTTTTTTTGGGAGTGTATGAGTCTCAGATGCCTTTGCGGCTGGGTTTGTGAAGGGCGTGTCCGCAAGAAGGGCGGGACTATCTATGTTCATTTATATTTATATCTATGTATCCCTGATTGGATGATTATTTATATATCATGTTATGTATATATTTATTATATTATATTGCTGTACTGTATATATATATATATATTTTCTTCTTCTATCTTTAGTAATATTTGGCTGACTGCGATAGAAGTGAGTCAAAAGAACCGATCGTGGCGAGACGAATGTTTTTCTTTATTTATTTTATTTTATTTTTTGTTTTACCACCGCTTTATTTTATTTTATTTTTTTGATTGATTGATTCTCCTCTCTCTTTTTTTTTTTTTTTTCTTTCTTATTCCCATCCTATTTTGTTTACATAGAGAAATCCAGGGTCCGGCCAGCAGCAGGAGGGAATATTTCTGGAAATATATGTGAGGCCAGATGATGCTACAATAAATAAGCGTATTTTTGTTTAGCCACCCTGCTTCCTTTTATTATTGACTTTTATTTCCCATCGATACCACGCCGGGGAGGCAGCGAGTGCCGTTCCTTTTACTTCGTTGCCCCCTGCTGCCGTCCTCCCTCACCACGTGGGAGGGGGAGGCTGGCGGTTGCGGGTTTCTTTTTCAAAGACTGCCACCCCGTGACTTTGCAACGAGAGATCCCGGCTGCTGGTGGCGTATGCCTTTTGCATGCGTGCGTTTTAGTGGTGGTGTATGCATGCGCGGTGAATCCCCTCTGAGGTGTGTGTTTTGTATGGGATGTTGTCTCTTCTTTTTTCTTTTTTTTTAGGAATAAAGGACAGGGCCGCAGTCATGCGCTTTTTGTTTTTATTTTTGTTGTTGTTGTAGTTGCTGCCTTCTTGTATTTATTTCTAATGGACATTGCATATATATATATATATATATACATGTTTTTGTTGTACTCTTCTGCTTTTTTTTTACTATTGCCTTTTTTTTCTTTTTCCTTTCTACGCACAGACACACACATACAGGTAGAGTGAGACCGATTATCTTTATGTCTTCCGCCTTCCAATGGTGTGGGATGTAATGAAAGGCATTTTCTTTTTACATGCTTTTTATTTATTTATTTGAGGAAAGCTGCGCAAGCTGTAACAAATAAAAAAAAGAGTTTTTTCTTCAACGGTGTCATGCGCGTCTACAGAAATGCGTGCAGGTTTTTGCGCCCCCCTCTCCCGCGAGCTGGGCCAGGCATAAATCCTGGCGTCCGCGAGAGTGCAGACGGATACGAGGATGCCTTAGTGTTCCCATAAGGTGCGGCGCCGTTAAATGAGGGTTCGCCTGCTTACTGTTGCACCCTGTTTTTTTTCTTTTTTTGCCCCCAAGTGCCCGCTGCCAATTTTCCTGTTTGACGTGAGGGGTTGGGACGCTGTGAAAAGCGAAACGGCGGAACACGGGATACGCGCAATTGCGTCAACCACGTCTGTGTTTTTTCTTCCCCTCTTTTTCTGTTACCTTGCGGCGGCCCAGAGTCGTAACAGCATGAGGGGAGAACAACACATTCTCTTTTTATTTTTGTATAATATTTGAATCTACCTGTGTGTGCATGGTGTTTTTTTTTTCTTTTTTTTTCTCTCCCCATGCATACGGGTTTATATATATATATTTTTTTCTTCAGTCTGTCCAAATGAACGGCGCATCGCGCCACTGGACGCTGTTGTGCCACGTTCTTTTTTTCTTTTTTCTTTTCTTTTTGTTGTTATTGTTGCCTCTTATTTATTGCGATTTGGTGCTGTTTGGGTGTAGTGAGGGGAAAAGAGGAGGAGGGTGAGAGCGTGTGAGTGAATTGTGGGTGCTAACGCGTGGAATTTTAGAGAAGGAGAGGGTGTGCGTAGAAGGATGTTGCCGCACTCTCTTTATCGAGGAAACCATCTTGTCCAGAGGGACACTGTGGGCACTGATGAGGGGATATGCCAAGCCGACTTACCGTCGTATCGGCAGGTGTCATTGGGGCGTGAGAGGGCACCGAGAGAGACCACATCAAAGTTTACCGCTACGACAGCGGTTGGCGTGTCATCAATCACCCCTCTTACTCCACCTGCTCCTTTTTTTCCTTCTGCCTGTATCGTCGATGAAAGGAGGGAGTGTAAAGAGACTCTTCTTGTTTCCTCGGCCCACACAAATGAGTGTATGGGCGAGGCATGTCGTCTACATAACTGCTGCTGCACGGAGCATTTACTGCGCCGCACCATAGAGTTGGAATGTGAGAACGAATTATTTCGTATTGCGTTGCTGGAAGGATCCGAGCGACGGATGCGGCAGCGGTTTTGCGGCGGTTTCAGCACCGACAGCAGCCAGCGCCACCAACACAACCATAATCGGCAGCAGCAGCAACAGCAGATTCTCCAGTGCGTGAGGGAAGTTGAACGAAGTGCCAAGAGGTATTTTCAGGACGAATTGGAAAAAATGCAGCAACAGAACAAAGCGGATGCCGCCGCCGCCGCGGTGCAGCACCCCACGAGAGGAGAGACTTACGAGTCCACACTTGCGCAGTCGGAGCGACGGCGTTGGAAGGAACATGTTCGGCACACCGTGGAGGAACTGGCTCTGCTGCACCGCGAAAAGGAGAAGCAGGCTGCTGGTGCCGCAATGGCCTCGATCATGGACACGGCGTTGGCGACTAATCGTCATCACTCGCGGGATGCGGATGATGATGACGACGGCGGCAGTGCTGGCAAACGTATTGCCGACCTGCAAAGGGAGGTGGCGCAGTGGAAAGGCGAGGCGGAGAAGGAGCGGGTACGCGCCGAGTTGTATCGGGAGTACGCACTGCGAGAGCTAGGGCATATGCATGCAATTTACCGGCATGCGCTGGGGGAGGAACAATCTACCTTACCGGGTTGTGACGCAGCGACCATGCCGGCAGAAGGGATGGGAGCCAAAGAAACAAGTTGTCGTGCGGATCAACTACAGACGCCTGTGGATGTGAATGCTGCCCCTCCTCCGGTGAAAATCACCACCCCAACACGTATCGAGGCACGGGAAGACACCCAGACGGCTTGTCATGACAGTCTACTCCACACCACAACCACCACCTCTCCCTTCTTCCTTTCCCGCATCAAATCACGCAGCCCAGTGCGTGTTGATATGGAGACGCCGGTTGCCGCAGTTGGCATGTCTGGTGCTAAAGTGGGCTCCGGTGATACGACTGCGCCATCGCCGGTGTCACCGCAGACGGGGTTGCGGCGTTCCTACCACTCGGACATTTGCCTTCGAAGAGAGAGCGTCACAAACGACGGGGGCGCATGTTCGCACATAAAATTTTGAGTTAGCGACTTGAAGAAGAATAATGCACTGAAATTGTGTGGATGTCATTCACACATTTGTCTCTTATCTTTTTTTTTTTAAATTTTCTTTGCGTCGTTGGTTTGGATCACTCTTTTCACTTTTTTTTTTTTTTTTCTTCCTGCTCTCACCCTCACACTGGTAGCCATTCTCATTCCTACAGGTCTGTGACACCAATTTGATTGCTTTTAGCGGTGTGCCTTTTTTACGGTTCCCGTCATTTGCTCAGATTCCTCTTTGCTCCGCAGATTGACTGCGATGCACGGCTGGTCCTCCCCTGCCCCCTCGCTGTGGGGCGACCTGCGGGTGGATGGGCCACCGTCATTGGTCGCACAACCCGCAAAACCACCCAACGAGAGCACTGGGTTTGGAACTGTGCGTCTTGCATTCCCCTTCGCACAGGGAGAAGACACGCCCGCTTTGGGCTCCGCAGGAGGAGAGGCCGATCGGCGCAGGAGGATGTCAACGATGACAACGGCTGCTGGTGAGAAGGGAGAGTTGAGTTTGCATGGCTGCGGCGCTGCTGCCCTGCCGATGGGCATGAATTCCATGTCCCCTGCAGGGGCTTCTTCAATGGCTTCACAATTCTCTTTGGATTCATGGGTGGATGCTTTTCGCGTATATATTTCTGCGGCATTTGTTTTTCCAGAGGAAAAGATGGCCATCTCATCAATGATGGAGGCTCTAGCCAAATATACACAGGCACGTCTACGTACTCAGCAACACTTCAGTGAATGCGAGGCATGTTTAAACCAGTTTACTCAGCTACAGAACGGTGTTGTTGCCGCTGCCGCAAAAGGGTCTGTCCCATTGAGTTCGGGCAACACGAAAGATACGTTTACGTTTCAGTCCCAGGCGAACGCAGTGAGTCCCACATTTAACATGGCGAACATGCAGAGGGGACGTGCCAAGGTGGATATGGATCTAGCGGAGTGTAGACAGACGTTGCAGAAGGTCGAGGCATTTGCGAGTACTTTTCAGGACTTCCAACGACGTCGGACGCGTCTGCTTGAGGTTCTTGAAGAGGAGAAACAGCAGTTTTTACTACCACCGCTTCCTCAACGCCACTCTGGTGGCGCGTTTGTGCCAATTGTCACGGCACCCGTCTTTCAGCTTCAGACCACGCTAGAGGATGGAATCTCAGAGTTGTATAAGCAGTGGGATATGCATATAGCAACAAAGGCAGAAAGCATTACTTGCAGGCTCAATGGGACACATTCCCAAGAGGACGGTGACGTTTCCGGCAGCAAAGAGGGCGGTGAATTGGTGGACAGTACGCATTTGATTACATTGCTACTGAAAATGTGCGACGACACATTGGGCCGCGTGGAGACGATGCGCAGCCGTATCAGTCGTCTTGGCTCCATCCGTATTGATGAAGCAGAGTCTATTGAAAAGCTCCTCGCAAATATGGACAACTACGACCCCACGGCGGAGGAACATATGGGACGGCGTAAACAAATTGACGCAGAGCTGGAGGAGCTGCGAAGCTGGTTAACGCACATTGGGCAGCTTCGTCAGCGCGCCATGAATACAAAAGAGTTGCTGCAGCAATGCCTGACCAGCGGGAACAGAAGCACTGCAGGTTCCAAGCAGACATCACCTTGCGTCCACTTACGCAGTGAGGGCGGAGGCGCACCGTCGTCCCTCCGACCATCTCTCGGTGGCCCGACTTCTTTGGACGAATGGCGTCAAGCCTTGGTCATGCCAGATGCAGGTGCCGCAAATAAAATGGATGCGAATCCTGTCGTCAATGCCACCACGGCTGGTATCACTACTGCTACTAGTAATGGTAATAGTAATAATAATGATCACGCCGCACCTGTGTTTACTCAGGAAGATGGCACCCTCACAGTTTGCAATCAGAGACCCTCTTCTTCCACGGCTTCGGATAACGTCAAAAATGAGGAGAATGCCACTGAGATTAACTCCATGAACTTTTCTTTGGCGGAGCCACCGGTGAGTGCTCTCAGTGTCGAAGGCAACGGCGGGAACACGATAGCTGAAGATGCATGCAGAGGCGGATTGGCGGTGTCTTTTCCCGCCTACGGTGCAGAGGATCGCCAAACTGAAACGGGCGTGCCATTCCGCAACAGTAAAAAAAACAGTGATGAAGATGACGATGTGGCATCTTCCTTTCATGCCAGCGCCTTTGACGAGGATGACCTTTGCGGGAATGGGAAACGATGGCGCCGGCGACGGAAGCGCAGCGCTGCTCGTGGGTATTTGGGCGGCATCGCGGCATTCGCAAGGGCGGTGGTGCAGCGGGCCACGCAGTTCAGCGACTCGGAGTGCAGTTCCCCGAGTGACAGCGAGAGGGTGACGGAAGTGAGGCGTCGGCGACGATTGGAGTGAATGGATGAGCGACGAGTGTACACTTCTCCCACCACCACGCAAAGAGAGAGAGCCAGAGAGAGAGGGCGGAAATCACACACAAACAGACCCACACGCGGATGCAGGGTGAGAAAAAAGAAGTCTTTTTTCTTGGGGGTGCGCCTTCTCGTGTCGGTGCGGTGAATTGGGCGCATGCCTTGGCAGGGAAATGGTTCGGCGGTCAAAGAAGAAGACAACAACGAAAAACAAACAAGAAAGCAAAGAAAAGGAAAAAAAAAAACAAGAGAAAGACGGAGGATGAGTGGGGCAAGAGAGGAATAATGAGAATGATAATCAAAATAACAATATATATATATATATATATATATATATATATATATATATATAAACGAGTATAATGCAAACATTTGAAATGAGTTGAGGCTTCGAGCAATAGAGGCAGTCAAACAAAGGGATGGTGAATTGTGTAGAGAAGATATAACAACAACAACAACAAAATGGGAAGAAGGAGGAGGAGGAGCGGGTTTGAGGAAGACATGGCAGAATTTGCTTGCATTGCATTTTGTAAACATCCTTGCATCTTCCGGCTGGTACCGTTCAAAGTCCCCCTGCAAAAGTACACTTCTTATCTCTTGAACGCATTCCTCCTTCTTTTCTCTCTCTCTGATTTTTTTTTCTTTTTTTTTTGCTCTTTTTCCGATATGTGTGCTTCGTCAGCCTCCAGCTAGAGCCACCGCGCTGGGACACTGCCACCCTACCCCACCCACTGAGCTCCTGCTCGCTGGCGAAAACACACACCCACACGCATCATGAAGAGAAGGGTGCTGCGTGCACACGCAAACAAGAGTCGTCTTAGGCTCTTGAGCGCCGAAAATGGACTTCGGCTGGATTCGTACAACATTCTCTGCGATGCCTCTTTTATGCGCGCCTTTTTACTGGCTGAGGGCAGCAGTGAAGGTTCACCGGCGCAGGCATTGAGGGCACTTATTTACGACACTTTTTCGGCCGCAACGTCTCATGTATCGCGGGAGGAAGACGGCAGCAGGTCTTCTGGCAGTGCTCGGATAAAGAAACCCAATGAATTAAATCTCTCAGTTTATTATCTACTGGAAACGGCCACGACGCTCCGTCGCATGTTTCAGCAGCGGCTAGAAGAAGAGCAGGAAGATGCCGCGACGAGAAGGAAAAGGAAGAGAAATGAAAAGGAGCTGACTTCCTTGGAAATAAATAAGAAAGGCCGACATTTTATTTCGGTGGTGGAGTCGCTTTTGGAAGGGTTGGAGTGCATCAGGGGCGAAGATGTCTCAGCCAATAAAAATGAGGCCAAGGCAATTGCTCGGTTTCTTGCGGCGGCGGGGTCTAAGGAGGGCCCTCCCACACGCACGGCCCAGGGAAGGAAAAATGCACACTTTTTTTTTGTTGCCACGCAGTCGCATGACGTTCGCCGGCTTTTGCCAGGCAACGCCGCCCTCATCCGCCTCACAACATTACCCACGGCGCTGTGGATTGAAAAAAATGGTGATGCATTTCACTACGGTGTGGACGGTGCCAAAAACACCCCTCTCCATGATGCGTCCGTGCCCACGAGAGGGAAAACGCTTTCTGCGGCAGATGTGGCCTTCATGCGACACCTTTCGGCGGAACTTGTGCCCGCTGGTGTGGGGGCAAACAAAAGTCCTTGGGTGGGTTCGAAAGGCGGTACGTCGAAGACGTTGAACGCCACCTTGGCCATGCAGAATAAGGCGACACCAGATACGGGCAGCAAGAACGGTGTGAGGGGGGAGAATGCAAGCCGATCTCGAAGAAAATCCGCGCGTGGACCAAACCCGCTTGCAGTGAAGAAGAAACGCGTCCGGGAAGTGTTTCGAGTGGATTTGGGGGCGTCGAAGAAACAGGACTGAGTGAAGGAGAGTGCAAAGAATGGAGGGATGCGTGGGGACTATTGCTCCTGTTGATGATGGGTGGCATTTCGCTTTTTTTTTCTCTCTCTCTCTTTTTCTTTTTCTTTCTCTTTCTGTGTGAGCGCGCATTATTCTTTTTTTCTCTCGCGCTTAAAAGGTATGGGTGCCGAGTCCATGACCTACGAGAAATTGTGGAGGCATAAACTCTTTCTCTATTGGGTGTGGGGTGCGGATCTGTGCACATGTATGCATGCGTGTGTCTGCGTGTTCAACATTCTTTCGTGCCATCTCTTATATATATATATATATATATATATATATATATATATATATATATATATATATATATATATATATATATATGCTGCTGCTGCTTGCTTGTTTGTGAGATAAGGGAAGCGAAGTAAGGGCAGACAAACACGCTGTCAATATTTGTGCAGATTTTTGGATAGAGGGCGGAGAAAGAGCGACAAGAACAAAACACATACACACAGAGAGAGAGAGAAAGAGAAAAGGGGAGTTGTGTCGGCCGGAGTGTGTAGAAAAAGATGCGGCGGGAAGAGTTACTGCAGGTGTTGCTGGTCCGCTTTGTGGACCCAAACCGGGAGGAACAAGATTGGCTGATGATTGCGGCGCTTTTTTATTCACTCACGAGACTTTTTCTTTCCGCCCAGCGCGTGGAGCGGCTCTACTACAAGTACCTTCAAATGCATGGGAGTTGTGCCGCGATGAAGGCCGCTTGCAAAGGGTACGAGGCAGAAGTTGAGGAGAGGCTTCGGCAACGCGTGGCGGGGGGCAACAGTCTAGTCGCTTCAATGGCGATGGGGGGTCGTCACTTAAGCATCAGTTCCCCAACGACGTCGCGTGGTGCGGGAATGCTGACACCGTCTGCTCCCGCGGGTGTCGCTGTTCATTCAAGCAGCGGCAGTGTGGAATGTGGGTCTTTAGCTAATTTGTTTCTTCCGTCGCCGAAGGGTGGGGGACGTAGTGTAGACGACGGGAGCTTTGCGGGAGGGGCGGCGCTGCGTCATTTAACGCCAGAGCAGCGTGAGCATTGGCACCGTTTGCGGCAGGAGCCCATCAGTCCCGATGTTCTCATTGCCCTTGTGCAGAGATTTTCACTGGTGGAGGGTGCCGGGGTATTTTTGGCACCGGTGCATCCCTCGACAATCATGGAATTTAACGGGGCTCGCTCAGGCCCGTACGGCACCGTTATCATGCACCCGCTTTCGCTGATGTGCATCAAAAGGAGGATTTTGGCATCCCGAAGAGACTACGAGCCACGCCAACCGGAGAAGAGGGCGTCCGTGACGGAAATGTTAGTGGACGGGGGAAATGTAACAACACGGAAGCGGGGACGTGTGACGGCGGCTTCGGTTGTGGAAAGAAATGAGTCGATGCGTAAAAAGTTATCAAGAGAAAGCGGCGACGACGATGCAGGTGTGATTCGGACCCTTCAGGAGCTTGAGCAGGCTGTGTGGCATATTGCTGCCAATTGCGTTGCCTTTAATGCCCCCGAATCCTATTACCCTTTCACGGCTAGAACGTTCGCACTTGCGTGCACAGGGATCATTGAAGAGTACTGCATGCAGCATTTGCGTGGTGCATGAGGCGTCGGATGGTGGATGCATGTGCAACGCCCCTTTTTGTGACTTGATGTTTGGACCGTCCCGTCGAAGGTGCGGGGGAAGCTGAGAGGGGGTTGAAAGGCGGGTCAAGAGGTACTACGATCAAAAAATCAAAATCGAAGAAGAGAGGTTTGTGTGTGTGTGCGGAGCGGAAGTGGTATGTAATTCTCTCTTATCCACTTTCGCGTTGATTTATTCGTTTGCACTTTTTTTCTTTTTTTTTCGCTCTCTTCCATGCTTGTGCGTGCGTGTTGCGGAGGAGCACGAAAAGGAGGCACGACGCACATAAATATATAAAAAAAAACGCATCACACACAAAAAAAAAAGGGAGGGGGGGAGGCTTAACAAACAGGAATGCCGTTTTTCCGAGTATGTCTCCGCGCGGAAACGGAAGGGGTTCTTTCTATTCGACCCGCTCGGCCTCGCGTTTGGGGGATGAAGTTTGAGTGCGACAGCTGTCGGGAGACCAGCCCTCATTTTGTCTACGTGGACGAGGCGGAGGAGCGTGACAGCGGTGGCGGCGGCACGCGAAACGCAGTCTTCAAATGCGCCTTCTGCAAGGGAGTCCTGACGGCGTCCATTGACCCGGAGAGCTACGGCCGGTTCACCCCGGACGGCGACAACGGCCTGCTGCTGGTCGAGGTGCGGGGCGGGTCCCCGAAGGAACTCGAGCTGGACGGCAACTGGGTCGTCGAGGCGGAGGGGTCGTCGTTTGATGGGGTGGACCTGAGCGAGGATTGGATGGAGTACGACGAGGCGTCCGGCGCAGTGGTCAGCGTGTCCGGCGTTTCTGTCGTTTTTGAGCGGGCGAAGAAGAAAAAACAGCACGAAGGGAACGCGTGAGGTGTGCGGGGTTTTCCCCGCCGCTTTTTTTACTTTTTTTTCTGCTCAGCGTTCATCCCCCCTTTACACCTCTTTCACTCCGCCGTCACTGGCGGCACCGATGTGAAGTCAGTAGGGAGGGTGGCGGTGGGACCTCTTCTTCTACCCCCTCGGCTCGCGTGAATTTAAGAGTGACGCAGCCCCGCCTTAACCGGCAGCGCGGGAGACAAACGCGGAATTTTTTTTTTTCTACTCTTGTTTTCTCAAACGAGCGCGATGGCCCGCACGACGCCCACCATCGCAGAGCGCGTCCACCCGCGAGGCGGGGACGTGGAGGAGGGCCTCGGCTCCGGAGAGAAAGCCGCGGTGGAAGGCGCAAAACGCACACACGCGCCGCGCGCCCGAGAACCAACAAAAACCAACAAATCAGTAAACCACGCAGCCCACGAATAAGGAAAGGGAGGGAGGGGAACCGGCGAGGAGCACCGACGTTGTGCCGCCGCTGTGGGGGGCTTTGTGCCTTCTCGCTGCGTGGTAGTGCTGTTTGGGCAGCGCCTTTCCATCCCGAGGAAAAACCGCGCCAACATTTTCGTGCAACACGGCTTCCTCGCTTCTCCGATGTTCACGCCGTGTTTTTGCCCAGGCGCCTGCAGAGCCGGGCGGTGGAGTAGACGCCGACATTTCTCATGGCACGGTTCGCGTTGGCTGGCTTTCGCGATCCCCGGTTCGTCCGTCATCGCTGTGGCGCTGACGGCTTTCTTCCCCCGCTGAGGCGGCAGTAGCGACAGGGAGACTGACAGGGAAGAGCGGCGGCCGCGTAATCGTGCACGCGGATCTCAATGACGAATACATAGAAATAATGCGAAAAAGTCGTCTTGCACCGCGCGCGTCACACATATTGCATCGAGAAATACAGTCCGCTTTCATTCCTTGCGTGGGAGCTTGCCATGATGCACCACGGTTGTGGCGTGTAAGATTTTGGGTTTCTGTGTGGTCTTCACTGCGATGCATTTTATTCCCAGTTGTGTTTGTCAGGAGCGATAAGCTCATGCTTTCGTGCATGTGGTGTGCGTTGCACGCTGTGCCCCGCACCGTGTGGATGACGCTTTTGTTGTGCTTGTCGGTCATTTCTGTGCCTATTGTTCTCTTCTCTCGTCCTTCTTTTGATTGTCTGCTGGGTCACAGCTCCAAGTGGAACCGACTACGAAGACAGCGCAAAGAATGTCCGAGCGTCACGGGGAAGGAAATGACGATAATGAGACGAGTCCCGCGTCTACGGTGTCGCAGGGACGTCGGGCGCGAGCGAGGGCGGAGTCTGACGGCGACAGTGGCCAACCCGCTGTGCCTCGCAGAAGAGTGGAGGAAACGCGGCGACCACAGTGGGGCCTTTTCAGTTGGGTGGAAGATGTACTGCTGGGGGGAGAGGCCCGCGGCAATTACATGAAGCTGAATGATTTTCTTCGGAGGCATATCGGCCCCAGCGCAGTTGTCGATGAAAGATACAATGTGACGATGGAAGTATTTTTAGTGGAGCCCAAGACTTACGTACAGGATCAGAAGCTGCTTGAAGAAATTTTTAATTTGTCAGAGTATCAAGTGCTGCAAGAGATGCGCGGACTTCGACGGGATACGTACAATGTTTCTCAAATGGGTGTGCGCTCTCTCAGACAGTGGAGGGACTTTGAACGGAAGGATATGGTCAGTCCTCTTGCAAGGAGAGAACTCGATGCG